CAAGTACCTGATAAAATATGGTTAGAACAAAGACGCAAAAGGATAAATAAGAGAGCAAACAATAGGTAATATGAAATAGTTGTACCTGTTTAACACCAAAACAAATTACCTTAGAAAGACTTGAATATCTGTTTTCCAAATGCAAAAGGCTATTACTACTAACATCAATCCAATTTTTCAATCCCCAAAGATTCACTACCACTATGAATATCTTGTCAAATAGTTTTCTTATCAAAAACCCCACTCTTTGATATCACTCTTATTTCATGTCAAACTACTCTCTTTTGGTTATGCAAGTGCATGAAACAGAGTTAATTACACAAAAAAGATCAATTTTATCCAATGTTAATTAACACAGTACTACAAAAATGTTTATTCTGTAAAAAACGAAGTCCCACAAAAAATGAACTCATAGCCTTGAATCCGGCTATTACAGTAAATGTACAAGCTCAATTTTACAACATACAAGTTTGAAAAATAAAATCCTAAAAAAAAAAAAATTGATAGAATATGTTTGGTGCACATTAAAATGAGAGAATGCATTTTTTTTTAAGTGATGTGATGGAGAATATATGGTTGAAAATGAAGGAAAAATTATTGATGTGATGAAAAATATTATTTTATTGAAAAGTGTATGGTTGAAAATGAGTAGAAAAATGAGAATGAAAAAAATAATGTGTCCGAGACAAGGGCTTAAAGTAGAAATAGTAAATATGAAGTGACACTGTAAAACACCACACGAAAATAAAGAGAAAAATGAATAACATCCTTCAATCTCTCAATCTCCTCTTTTTAGGGCAAAAATAAGTAAAACCCAACAAATAGTCTTTCTCATCGGATCCATATAACCATGAATTATGAAAACCCCATTTTAAAATCTAATTAACCCCCTTACTAATAAATTAAGCAAAACAAGTTTTACAGAAATAAGAAAAAGTTCAGAACAACCTCTACCCATCATGAATCAAACAGAAAGACAAAATCTAAGTACAACAGAAACAGCAAAAAAGGCAAAAATAAGCATTTACAGAGAGAAACGCAACATACTTCAGCTTGATAGCGTGAAAAATTGAGTCTATATTAACGAATGTAAAACAACATAAAACATTAATTAACGTAATCTAAACTAATGAATCGGGTAAAAAAACTGAACCATTTACTGACGCAAATAAATGAAAAAGGAACAAGATTATACAATTTCTTATATCAAAAACAAGGTGAAAATGGATTTGATTTGTTTACCTCAGAGCACCCCTTTTGCACAGACTAGAGAGACAGAGAGTCCAACGATGATTCTAGAGAAAATGCCAGTGAATTTAAGGAGTGATAGGTGCTACATATATCATTTTTTACATTATTTTTGATATTTTGTCATCATTGCACAATTTACACTATTTTTTTT